CGACTTCATCAGATGTCGACCGAGCATGCTCTGAAGCAGTGCGTGAGTGTTTGGAAGGTGCAGTTGACGATTCTTCACCAAACACAACAATTTCATGCACGACAGCTTGCTTGAATGGCGCTGCTTCTGCTGCTGATGATGATGATTATGATGATGATGGATGAATGGGGCAGGTGAAAACGAGTACTCGAGGGAATCGTTTGAGTTTGGCGGTTTCTGCAGCAAGCGAGGAGAAATTGCAGGTCGTTGATGCCAGTCGACGTGTTGGCGTGAGTGATGGCTGATGTCGAAGATGACATCCAGGTCGAATTGCAGATGGTTTCGGCCAAGCGTCCACGAGACCGGAAAGCCACTGCCGTTAACCGCCACCACGTCGGTTGGTGTGTGGCTGATTGTCGAAACCGCACTTAATATTAGTAGAAGAACATCTGAACACAACAATAATTTGTATTGTTTGAGCCTACGCAGCCGGGAATTCTCGAGTATTTACATTCAGAAGGCTCTTCAAAATCGGGAATGTTTTTCACTATAAATCACGAGGCTGCACTTCTGAAGACACGAGAAAAAGCACAGTAGCCGAACCCCCTGTGAGTTTGATGGTAGGAAATTCGGCACGTTAGATCTTGCCTCACATTCGCAATCAGCCCGAGTTCCCTGGATTGTGGAGTCGTGCTTGTACCCCTCGTGAAACGCTCCTACTACTCCTTATGGCCCCCACACCGAACCACCCTCCCCCCTCCCCTACTACCCCACCACAGGAACACACCCACTCTTGAACTTTAAACTCCTGCGAAAAGTGCACGTGTTAACACACACGCACACGCACATAAATTCGCTCGCTCGATTGTGATTAATGTCGCCTGTTGTCGGCGTGTGCACTGAGATGGACTTTGTTCAAACCACCACCAATCACACTCCCTAACGTGGATTAATCATCGCCACGTCACTCTACCAAAGAATGTTTGCCTCCACGACAGTTCACTTCGGGAGTTGAGAATCTATGGGCACATTGGTACCGTTGTTTTATCCATCAATGCAGGACGTGCTGTTCCACCTCCCCGACATCGACCACTTACTGATTACCGGTGAACCGAAGAGGGCACTTGAATCGCGTTCGGTTTGCGTCCGGTCATCAAACCGTTGACAGATTTTGACTTCACTGACTATCTGCTCGTGACACTCGCGCACACATCAGCCAGGGTTGTTTGTTTATATGGAATTTGAGCGTCAACCTACCCCTGATTCCAGGCTCTCGAAGCTTGAACACCGACCGCGTTTGTGGACACACTTGTCGAATGCGCGCACACACGCCTCCACCCTTTCGAACAGGCTCTTAGTGTCATTTAAATTAAGCCTCACTTTGAAATGACACGACCATTGTCCTATCGAAGCCTTTCAGAGCTACTGGAGCGTTGTCGAGGTACTTGAAGAAAGGATTTCCTGGAGTTTGGCTCATAATTGGCCAGTGTTCCAACCTTCTAAGGTTTGATGTAACCTAATGCTTTCAGGTCTGCCCAATCTAAAGTTGTCGAAAACTGGATGACATGTCATATGTCTGGTGGCGAACGGTTTTGTAGTTTTGGGCTAATTAGGTTCAAGATGGGGGAGGGAGTTGTTACGAGTTGTCGCGTGTCAAAATTGACGTACGTTACGTCAACTCCACGATGTATTCCCACTGAACCGTGAAAACCGACCTTATAGATTCAGTGCAGTGAAAACCATCTCCAAAGCAGGAATATCGTGAACCAGAGTTTGGGTCCCCACTGGGGTTTCGATAGCGATTAAATTCACCACCGCGGATACTTCAAAAGGGCGGCTCCTCGCCTGAATGGCCTTGTCATTTAATACACTGTCACGTGACTCCAGGCCCGAGAGACACGCATTCTCCGTTGTCACCACCGTTGGTGACATCAAAGACGTCGACGCCCACGCACGACAAAATTTGTCAACCACTAGTGGCGTCCGCAGCTGCTGTCGATGTGTTCTTACGCTGAAGGAGCGCTGTCATCTTCTGCATGGACGTCATAATAAAATTTTGTGTTGCTATAGCGCGATTCCCGCCCTACATTTTGCATCCACATGGCGATAATCGAATCCAAATAAAACAACTTCAACAACGATGGTTATTCGACTAATGCAGCTTTAACATAAGGCGTCGAATTGCCTCGATTCACAGAGAATAAGTGTGCTGCTGATTGGTGTGGAATCTGCCTTCACTTCGCGTTCACCGCAAACGACGAGAATTGCTGCATATCGCTTTAGCAAATATTATCATCATCATAATGGCGTGAGATATTTCTGTAGTGAACCAGCGCCGGTTACTTCAGAAGACTCATCCCAACTCAAAAGAGGACCACGATCATGCATGCAACATAACAAGAACACAAATCCAGTCTAGTTAATTAGCTCTGGGCTAAGTAGAGTTCCACTAAGTATTTCTCTCCTGCCAGCAACTGCTATTTCGACTCTGACTTGCCGGAAGCTGTGGTTGCGGCAGCCAACCAGAGAAATCGGAGTCTAGCAGTAAGCGTCGGTGTTTCTTCCAGTGATATTCTGGTTCTGCAGAGACAGACTTGTTTGACAGAATTCACGGTGGTGTGATTAGTTCAACTGGCAGCGATGTCAACTGTTTCCTCTGCATCTGTGTACCGGCATATTCTATCCACGAA